GAGGAAACAACACACTGTTTCATTGTCTTCTACAGAGGCAGAGTACATTGGAATGTGTGAAGCCTCAAAAGAAGCAATATATTTTTATAATTTTTTAAATGATCTGGGACTAAAAAATCTAACTGATATTGTTATCTACAATGATAACCAAAGTGCTCTTAAGCTTGCGGATAACTCAATGTTTCATAGTAGGAGCAAGCATATAGACTTAAGATTTCATTTCATCAGAGAAGTTATCAGAAGCAGGAAGTTTCAAGTAAAATACTTATCAACTCATTCAATGCCTGCTGATATATTTACTAAAGGACTAACTAGATCAAAGCATACTACCTGTGTTAATCTATTAGGTCTAATACAAACATGATAATGTTAAATGTCAATCACGACTCGAGGGGAAGTGTTGGAGAAAGTCTACTAACTATTCACTACATTGGATGCTGTTCAAGCGAGCCGTGATAGTTTGAAGAAAAGTCAGTCAAGATTATCAAATAACTTGTCATTTTCTTGATATTTATATTTTTGTAATTTATGTTAATAAATACGTTTTCTACTGTGAATCCTTAAGTATTTCGATCCGAGTAAAACCTCGACAATTAATTACTTAATTGTTTTTTTGTGGGAAAAACCGAAAAAATGATCTTTTAAAAATATATACGTCCAAATTAAAGTATATAGGTACATCCAAATAAAATTATAAACACAAATTTTAATCCAAAATGTCAAATGTTATTAATTTCAACGGTCAACCATAAATAAATCGAATCCAACACAAGGAGTTCAAGGCCGCATCGGCGAAACAACGATTCCAACAAACTGGTGGAAAAAAAAGACACACGTATTGCTATGGCTGTCATCCAAGGGTCTCCGCCCTAGATAATAGAAAAGCCTTTAAAATTCAAGTATAACAATTTTATGTAACCATTTTCTTTTCTTTCTTTTGTTTGCAATATTAAAAGGCTTGAATCTCAAACCTAGCTATGTTGTGAATGAGATGGTTACGACATTCGAACATACCGTAATTCGCTTACCACCGTATTATTGCACATTTAATGCAATAGAATTAATTTGGAGTAACATCAAAAGGGAGGTCAGAAAAAAAAATTAATCCTGCGTTGTTTGAAAGCGTTTTAGATGTTATTAGAAAAGTTGTTGGAGGTATATCTCAAGAATTATGGTCTAATTGTGTTCTCCATGTTACCAAAATTTAAAATAACCATAGAGTACTTCCGGCTCATTCTTGCATTATAAACCTGAATGACACGTCAAGTGAAGATAATAGTTCTGATAGTTCTGATGAGATTTGATTTTCCATTTTGGTTATATTTTTCTTAGATAATATAATAGCAGATAGGCCACCACTACATAAAGTTATACAATATTAATCTCGCTATCATATAATCAGTATCTCTCTTTCTAATGAAGGCTTTCTCACTCGTTTTAGAATTCTCAGCAGTAGCGTACCGTAAAACAATTTCGCTGGGTCATTTTAAATGCGAAAATGTTGACCAAATAGAATATAAAATAAAATGTTTTAAAAGGTAGGTAGGTGCATTTTTAATGAAGTGAAAACAAAATATGGCTTTTTTGTTATGAATATAATATTAATAACAATTACTTTTAACACCACAACACGAACAAATTTAAATTAAACACTGGAATAATTGTCTGAGAAAAGCTTTGTAAAACTGACAAATACAAACAAAGAGATAGAGATATTAATCTATTTCTCTCTAATTAGAATTCTCGACCATATTATCATGGCGACACAAACATTGTTTACTGTCCTCTCTTTACTACTTACTCTGAGATATTTTTACGTTATTAAACGTAACCATGTATCTGTTGCCACGTTATTTTGGAAAAGAACATGATATTGTTCCTGTTTTCCTTCTCTAGGAATGCAACCTTGACGTGGTGAGAAGGCTTGCGTGTTTTAATCATTTTAGACATTAATGCCAGACTAATACATTCCAAAATTATATAATGTTTTTATAATAAGAGGATACAAATAATAGTTGTTCAAGCATTTTTCGTAACATTCTAAATTAATTTTTAATTTTTAATGTAATATTTAAATATTTCAATCAAATCAAAAAAATAGTAGATGTAAATAATATACACACCCCACACAAATTATCGCATCACTAAAATGTTAGCAAAAGTTTGAAGTTATTTTTTTTCTAAACCGTTTGATCGATTTGGATATTCTTCTTTTTGGATGATAGGTTGATTCGTGGAGATTAATAATCTCTATAATTCTGTATTTAAAATTTACTTTTTGAATGAATACTGGGTGTTGCCATAATATAGGGTTTTGGATAGAAAATTTGTAACACCCTGTGGGGTGTACCAGTAATAACAGCGTATTGCCATTAATAGTCGACTTTAGCGTCATCTTTTCGTAAAATGTTCCTTTTTGGTTCGTTTTATTATCTCTATTTTTAGAGGAGATTTACAGTTTTTTATCACAGTCTCTTTTTACAGACTCACATATTGGTAGTTTACAAAGGTTTACATGCATTTATTGAATAAACTGAAAGGTAGGCTTTGACAAATGAAAAATTATACGTAACGTCATCCAAATTCAAATTGACAGTTTGCTGGTATATAAATTTTTGCGGTACATTTCAACACTTTTCATTGTGATTTCTTACAATACTTACATTTAAACTGTGTACTAAACTGGATTACAATGAACGTTCAACGACACTTATCTGAAGAACAGGCCGTAAAAGTAATTACTCTGATTGAAGATGGACGAAGTCAAAGATACGTTGCTAACGTAATTGGGGTTCAACAAAGTACCATTTCAAGAGTTGTAAGGCGCTATAGAGAAACCGGGCAATATTCTAGGAGAGAAGGTCAAGGACGTAGAAGAATTACTACAGGTGTAGATGATCGTTTTTTACGAGTAACGGCCTTAAGGACTCGACATTGTACTGCGCGAATGCTTCAACATGACCAGCTAGCAGCTAGAAATGTAAACATATCTTTACAAACTGTCAGGAATCGCCTTCGTGAACATAATTTGCGAGCAATGGTTCCAGCAAGAGGTCCACTTCTTACTAGGGCGCACAGGGTTGCCAGGTTACAATTTGCTAGAGAGCACGTGGAATGGGGTCTTGCAGAATGGTCCAATGTACTATTTTCTGATGAATCCAGATTTTGTCTATATTCCTTAGATAGACGTATCGAAGGCCAGGTGAGCGTTATTCTCAAGTCAACTTTCGTCATACGGAAATTTTTGGCGGCGGGTTGACTATGGTATGGGGCGGAATATCCTACCATGGACGCACAGAGCTAGTGGTAGTTAATCAAGGAACGGTGACGGCCGATCGATACATACGGGATATTCTGGAACCTCCTGTGATCCCATATGGCCCTTTCGTTGGTGAGAACTTCATATTCATGCAAGATAATGCACGACCACACACGGCCAGAATAGTCATCGATTATCTAAATAAGTTAATGTCACTGTAATAAATTGGCCAGCCCGCAGTCCAGACTTGAATCCCATAGAACACGTATAGGATCATTTAGGATGGGCAATTCAACAAGATCGTATTCCATGTAGAACACTGGATGAGGTTCAAAATAAATTGGTTATGTTTTGGAACAATATGGATCAAGGCTATATCCACAACCTGTTTGAAGGGATGCCAAGACGAATGCAAGCTGTAATTGCAGCGAGAGGAGGCAACACTCGGTATTGAAAATTATTGTATTTTAAATTAGACTTTTAAAATTAATTTTGTTTTGTTAAAGATTTAATAAACATTCTTGTTATAGTGTTATGTTTCTTCGCATATTTCCTCTAAAAATAGAGATAATAAAACGAACCGAAAAGGAACATTTTGCGAAAAGATGAGGATAAAGTCGGCTAGTAATTGCAATATGCTGTTATTACTGGTACACTCCACAGGGTGTTACAAATTTTCTATCAAAAAACTTATATTATGGCAACACCCAGTATTCATTCAAAAATTAAATTTTATATACATAATTATAGAGATTATTAATCTTCAGGACTCAACCTATCATCCAAAGAAAAGAACATTCAAATCGATCAAACGGTTCAGATAAAAAAATAATTCAAACTTTTGCAAAATTTTTAGTGATGCGATAATTTTTGTGGGGTGTTTAGTTTCATGGTGATTTTGAATATTTATTTCGGATTAATAATAATATAATTTTAACTTGTTAGCTTGTCCCCAAATCTTAATCTACGTCCCTGCTCGAAAAATTAATCTACCAAATAAATAAGTATATTCAACAGACTTACATTCTTCATGATGCACAAATTTTCTAGGGTAATTAACTGCGAACAACGTACAAACAACTAAGAACACTACCGGAATTGTGTCTCTCATTTATATATTTACAAAAAACTGCCTCAAATTCTTAGTTATAATAGCAGATACTTTCTCTAGACTGACTTGTCGAAGTCGTTTTTTTTTTCGGTTTTAACGGATGGATTGCTGCTTTTGATTGTCCGGTGTGTTTATTTGAGTTTGAAGAAAGTGAAATTTGAAATATATATATTTTTTTATTTTTCAAATTGTGATTAACGCTTAATGGATTAATAGTGGTTTTTATAAAAAATTGGTAATTTTTATGTAAAGTTTTGGTTTTTAAATGCAATCAATGCGAAAGTGAGAAGAAAGTTAATATTATATACAGTTTTGATGGGAATTAGATCAGCTCATGTCATAAAGAGGATGGCCATCTTACCTATAAATGTAGTTATAAATTATTGATAAAATGATTATAATAATTTAACTAAAGTTAATTTTTAATATGAAACTTTTTGTAAACCTCATTTTTCTACAACCCTCGTAGAGATAGTATAGAGATAAAAGTATAAAATTTATTTGAAATCATGCAATTAAACCGTAATTTTACCGGAGTTATCTGATATAATATCAAATGGATTCAGGAAGTGTGTTATCGTAGACTCGACTCTATCGAATCCGCTTTTCCGAACATTTTCAATTTAGTACCTATTCCAGTAATTAAAAATAATGGGAATTACTTAATGTGTAATACTCCTGCGGGAAGGGTGCGTATTTTTATATTTTTCCTCACGTATATCTTTATAAAGAGTGGCATTTAATTATTATTGAAATGTGTATTGCTAAATGAGTTTAACTTTAGGCCTAATAATTTTTTTAACGAGGTTTTAATTTTTTCATCAGATTAATTTGACAAAATGTAAGATTTAATATTGGGAAATTTAGGCATTTAAAGTCCTGCTTATTTATAACCAGTGGCGGCTGGTGGTAATATAAAATTGTTGTTCAATTTTTTCCAATAATTTTAGAATACTGCTGTTTTGTCCTTTTATAATTCCTTACATTACTAATATTATTTTCTTACTTTTCTCGAAACTGGAAATTTGCAAAGGTAATACCCATTCCTAAAATCAAAACGCCCTCTGAAATAGGTCACTTAAGATCTATTAGTGTATTACCAGTGCTATCAAAAATACTAGAGAGAATTATGGAGTTTCAAATCAGAAAACATTTAATTAAATTTAATTTATTGCCCACTAAACAGTACGGCTTTCGCAAGGGACATAGTTGCGCGACTGCTCTTGCTGATATAATTGATGACTTGATTCATGCTGAAGATAATAATAAATTAAGTATCTTAATTTTACTGGATTACTCTAAAGCATTTGATATGCTGAATCATAAACTACTTTTGGCAATCACACATTATCTAGGTTTTTCTGATACTGCTACAAAACTTATTAGCTCTTTTTTAAATGATAGATTTCAAGCGGTTGAAACAGGTATGAAAAAATCTCAAAAAATTGATTTAACAATAGGAGTTCCACAAGGAAGTATACTCGGCCCACTGTTATACACCCTGTATACCAGTAACTTCCAACATGCTCTTAAATTTTGCTACCACCACTTCTACGCAGATGGTACGCAAATTTATTACTCATGACTAGAGCCAGGAATATATGCAAAACGCCATATTTTGCATATGTTGCATATATATACAATTTTTGATTTTGATTGCATATATTGTTAATTTTTTGGCATATATCTGACGTACTAATTGGCTGGACATATTAAAATTATGAGTTTTAGACCAAAATAATATTTACAGGTCGATTTCCTAAAATTTTGAAGGATTAACTTTTCCCTGTAATAAATTACGGTTAATGGTGTAGGTACTTGAGAGGATTAAATTATAAACACCCTCCTTAAACCAACAAATTTTGCTAAATATCCTTTCTGGTAGTTGTATTAATATCTTCAAATTTCTAAATGACTCAGTTTACTTTCAACTTCATTTTAGTCTTTATTGTTGTGTTGTGTTAACCAGTGGGAAAAATGATAAAATTAATTGAGTCGTGGGTAAAATCTTATTCAGATTTTGTTGTAGAAGGTGATAACAAGGTGTTTTGTAAAACATGTTCTAAAATTGTAAGTACTTTTTTATTTTATATTTTATTTTGACCTTTCACAATGGTAAATCAAACAACAGTAAAATATTATTTCAACTCACATTTAAAAAAAAAGTAGGGCAACTTTACAACGTACGCATTTATTTAATTTAATTAAAACTTCAACATCTACAGGAATTTATTTGTTTTAGATTCCATGTAAAAAAAAGTTTCTAATCGACCATCACGCGAAAACACCCTCACATATAGCAAAGCAGAAATCTAAAGACACTCGCAGATAAAGTCAACTTCCCTTGAAACAATATTTAGAATCTGGATCATCTAGAAGTGAACAAGCTATTTTTAATGAAGATTTATGCCAAGCTTTAGTGACTTCGAATATCCCTTTAATACGATTAAATAATCCAAATCTCTGATCATTTTTGCAAAAATACTGTAAATTTAATATTCCAGAGCAAAGTATATTACGCAAACGTGGTGTTGACAGTTTGTTCATAGAGACTCGTGAAAAAATTCGTGAGATTTCCGTTGGAAACCATTTCTACATTATTGTAGATGAAACAACAGACTCTTGTGGTCGATATATAATGTAAAAAAAATATTTCTTAAAGCTCCTCTAAGAACTCAATTGTACAAAGAAAAATTTCCTGAATTACAGATGCCACCGGAACCTGTGATTACTTGGTGGAGTACCTGGCTTAAAGCTGCCTTTTTTTACGCAGATAATTATGAAAAAATTAAAGAAATCATATTTGATTTTGATGATTCATCTAAGGGAATATCTAATACAAAGAAGTTGTTTCAAAATCACATATTACCAAAGCAATTAGTGTTTTAAAAAATAATGCATTTGTACCCAAAATTATATTAGATTTAGGACAAAAAAATTTACCTTTGGTGACTTCCGTAAATTTAATTAAGACGTTTGAATCAGAGTGTAAAAATGTCCAGGGCGATATTGGAAAGACGATTTTTCATAAATTTTCAAATGTAATTTTAAAAAATGAACCTTGCTAATATTTATTCTGGTAACTTTGAAGATATTAATACTATTCATCCAGACATTTCAGGAAAATTTAAGTTTGCACCTATTACTTCTGTAGATGTCGAAAGGAGTTTTTCTTTGTACAAGTACATACTTACTGATAGGAGACAATCATTTAATACAGATAATTTAAAAAAACATCTAATTGTTCATTCGTTTTATAATAATGTTGATTTGTAAATAAAATTAGTTAATAATTAAATAATTATTAAGTATTATATTAGGTATTGTAAAATAAAACAAATAATAAATATTAATAAACTATTTCGATCAAATAACAAATTACTCTTATTGCATATGCTCTGCATATTTTTCAATTTTTTACGCATATATTGAAGTATTTTGCGGCATATATATGCGCATATTTAACTACTTTTTGGGTGCATATATTCCTAGGTCTACTCATGACAAAGTAATGGAATCATCTCGGGCTATTAATGCTGATCTTGCTAAACTTGCGGAAATATCATCAGATCATTTATTAAGAGTAAATCCTAGCAAATCATGTGCCGTATTATTTTGTAAAGATTCTTTGAAAAAAGAAGTAAAAAATTTATTAAATTTAAGACTTGGGAATGAAAATATACCAATTAGTGACTGGCAAAAGTTTAGGTCTAATTGTGGACAATAAATTAAGGTTCAAGGAACATATAACTGCCAAATTAAGACTAGCTTATTCTGGGTTAAAGGCTATTTACCCACAAAGATATTTTTTAGATGTCAACATTAAACGAACTTTGTGTGATTCAATCGTACTTTCCCATTTTGATCACTGTGATACGGTTTACGGTCCTTGTATAGATGCTAGTGATAAAAATCGAATCCAAAAGATTCAAAAGTCCTGTATTCGACTTATACAGTGAGCATCATAAGTCTTAACTCGTTACTGGAGTCTTGTTAGGAAAATTGCCGAGACAGGTCGATTTTTGTTTTCTACAATGTACATTTTTGTATGATTAGTTTACCCTTAATTTCATCCCTTACTGGAGGGGAACAATCCTTTCGAAAAATTTAAATAACATAGGGTGGTGAGTGATAGTTCATTTGAAAGGGGGTTTTATTCTCTATTCAACCGTGCAAAAAAATTTTAAATTGGCTTTATTACGTGTTGATTTATTAATGTTTAAAAATAGCAAAACCTCACAAAATAGGAAAGCAACTAATAGTGACCTTCTAATGGCAAAAAGTCTTACTTTACGTCTGAACCAAAACCGAAATCGTGCAGGGCCGAATTTTAATTCTAAGGATGAGTGCGCTACGTTAATTTCCGTTATTCTGAAACAACAATTAGTCGAGAATTAAAGAAGCAAATTTCAAAATTTTTTACATGGTTGAATAGAGAATAAAACCCTCTTTGAAATAAGCTATCACTCACCACCCCATGCCATTTAAATTTTTCGAAAGGGTTGCTTCATTGCTTATTATTAGTTTAATTGAATGCAACCTATTTCATGTTTCTGTTACACCCTACACATTCAAAACAAATTACAAAAAATACATTCTTGCATTGAATTAATTAATTTCGCTCATTTGTTTGGTTATTTACTTTTTTTTTTGTTTCCTATAAAAACTTTATAAACTATAAATTGTTTTTTTTTTTGATTATATCTATAACGATCTCTATAATACTGTTCAGATATTTTGTATTGTTAATTTTACTTCGTTTTCTTCTCGATGTTTTTGCCCTTGTAGCATTTTCCACCTATATTTTTCTGTGTTTAGCGGAAGAACAGACAGTGCGGTCCTCGTGACCTTGCTGAACTGAGCTAAATTGCCATTTACACTGTACTTTTTTTTTGTAATATTAAAATTGTAATTATTTTGTATGTATTGAGTAATAAACGTATTTATTATTATTATTATTATTATATTTATGTTCTTGAAGAGAGTTAGTAAGGGATAGTGGAACAATTCGATGTACATTAAGAATCTTTTTATATTCATACGTTTGAGAGAAACATTCATTTATTTTTTTTTTTAAACTACAGAATTTAGTTTTACTTACAGTTTTTAAATTCATAGTGTAGATACATTTTTCAAAATTATATTTAGCACATCAACCAAAACTGCTTGTTTTTTTTTTTAATTGGGCCATATGTTTTAATAATCCTAGTTGTCAGAGAGTAACTTTACAACCACGTGTCTAATTTTATAAATGTATTTCAAAATACTACGTTACCGCGAACACTATTATTTAATTCTCTTGACTAGTAACGCGTTGCAATAAGTAACTTTATTTCAAAAATTGACGCACGTAAAATCTCACAAATAAAACATTTCGGTGTAGTGCACTAAACAATGACGTTACGGTTGTACTTTTTGGCAGGAAATCTAAACGTTTGAGCGCTTCGTTTTTTTTTCGGTGATTTAAATAATTGTTTGTAGGTGCAAAAACAATGGAGAAGAAAAAGAGTTGCGCAAAGGAAAATAAATGTGGGAAAGTCAATGAAAACGTTTCTAAACATTTCAAGGAGTATTGCAGATGCACCTCGATACATGGATTTAAATATTTCGGCGAGGAAAGGACGGTAATTGAAAGGTAAGTTTTTTAAATTATCATTAGATTAGATCAGAAAAATATTATTTACACATTAAAAGATTTATCTACATGTCAAAATTTAATTAGCATACCAATAAAAACTCCCAGGCCGGATATTTTGGTAAGTAATAGATATATTTTAATTCTGTAAGAACGAGTTCACAGAGCACTGAGAAAGCTTCAGTTTTGGATATAAATTGAATTTAAATAGGTCAATATATAGATGGTGTTGCGGTCAAAAATTTTTTCTTTCTTGTGTAGCGCATCTTGTAAAAAATGTATTTTTATGAGATTTTCTTCTATGAACTAATTGGATAAATCTAGCCATTTTTGATATACAGAGTGGGTCACTCAAAACAGTTTCGTTCTGGTTTTCAGCATTAATCATTTGATTTTAAGAAAATGCTAAAACAGGTCGAATTTTATTCCAAATTAAAAACATTTTTACAATACAGACATCTGTCATGTGTCAACCCCCTCCCTTGCACTTCTCCAACACCTTAATTTTAAATAGGTAATGTACCATGTATGGCACATCATTGAAAAGGTAATTTAATGGGGGATTCAGAAATATTTTTGCGTTACTTAAATTTTATTGCCCTCTAGCAAGATAAAAAACTACTGCGTAATATAGAGTGTGACACTACAATGTGTAGTGTCATTAAAAAGGCAATTTTATAGGGAATTTAGAAATATAACTGTTCATTGTGATACTTTTAATTGTACCGCCCTCTATCGGGATAAAAAAACTGTACGTATTATTTGAAAGTAAATTTAATTACTAATTCAATGCACCACATAACATTAATATAAATATTTTCCATATTGTACTTGCAATAGTTTAAAAATTATACATGCATTATTTTAAACATTATTGCTAACTTTAGTTTGTTGCAAGTGCAGTATTGAAATATTTATATTAATGGTATGTGGTGCATCGAATTAATAATTAAATTAGCTTTCAATAGAAGTGTCACACTTTATAATGCGTTACAGGTTTTTTTTTATCCCGATAGAGGGTGCTAAAATTAAAAGTATTGCAATAAACAGTCATATTTCTGACTTCTCCATAAAATTACCTTTTCAATAATGTGCCGTACATGGTACATTCCTAATTTAAAATTAAGGGGTTGGAGAAGTGAAAGGGAGGGGAGTTGACACATGATAGATGTTTGTATTGTAAAAAAGGGGCTAATTTGGAATAAAATTCGACCTGTTTTAGCATTTTCTAAAAATCCAATGATTAATGCCAAAAAACAGGATGAAACTGTTTTGAGTATCCCACTCTGTATATCAAAAATGGCTAGATTTATCGAATTAGTTTATACAACAAAATCTGTTTAAAAATGCATTTTTTACTACATGTGCTTTATAAGAAAGATCCATCGAAATATCCGGCCTGGGAGTGTTTATTGGTACACCCTGTATACACAACACTACCGAGATATGATCCTTTCGTGCGGGTCCAGGGGACCATGGAGGACAAGTTCCCCTGTAATAACCATTTTTGATTTCAATTGGTGAGATATTTCAGCCCTCACTCCTTACTGTTTCGGTATTATATTGAGGGATTTTGGTTCTTTTGGTATCGATAATGGAAAATGGGTAAGGATATGTCGTGTTTTAGTCCTGATTTTTGTCCCCTGAAAAAGCTGGATAATACAGGGTTGTCCTTGAGTGTCAAAAATTATCAGTAGAGAGCACTGGGGTTTGGTACTATATGTTTTTTATGAGCCATGCCATTGAAAATACTAGATTCAATAGGTTCTTCAATAAATTTTACATAAAATAGTAATATAGGTACTTCTAAATAAAGGTTTTTTCAATACTTGCCAACATTGCTAAAGCCAATATTGGCTCCCTCATTGTGTTTTTTAGAAAAGTCTTAGTTTACTGTTTACTTTTTTACTGTATCATTGGAATATTATATTTCCAATAATTTTACACTCTCCGAAAACGTTTCATTCAAGTTCATTTCTAACAACAGCTGTAAAATGGCAACAGCAGCCGCACATTGTTATCAAAATCTTCACGACTATATAAAAATTCCAATTCAGATTTAGGCTTAGAAAAATTTATCATCTTATAATTACAGATTTTTAAATGTTTTTAGGAAATAATTTTTATAATGAGCAAAATTATTTGTATTACACAAATATTTTTTTAATATGTCCGAATGCACCTAATTTATAAGAATAATCGACATTTTAAAAAAATAACCTAAATTACAGTTCATCAAATTTCTAGAGGCTTTCGACGGCTAGACAGAGAAAGCACTACTGAGAGGCATCGGTTGGCGGGGCCGACGGATTTACGCAATGAAAGTACACTCTGCGCATCAAGTATTTCACTATTTTATTCAGACGTAAATGTCAGATGTAAATTTCGCTAAAACATTTCTTTTATTTTCGTTTGTGTTTTTTGCTCATTACAGTTTAATAGAACCTAAGTATGGAGTTTAATAGCAAATTAAGAGGCCGCGTGATTAACAGTCAATCTCGCGAAATAATAGCCAATGTTATAGAGTTTATGAGAAGAGAAGGAAACTTTAATTCACCTTCAATACCATTTAAAAATGTAAATGATCGTGTTGCTGCAGCCACAGGAGTATCTAAAAACACTGTCGTCCGCATTTCTGGAGAGAAAAAAAGAATCGATAACCGTGAGATATCGGAATTTTCATCACCAAGAAAAACCATTAAAAAACCAAAAACAGTTAATGATATAGATGAAGCTGACAAAGGTATTTTAAAAAGAATTATTCTGTTCATGTTAATCTCGGAAAATATTGTTCCAACATTAAAAACAATTCTGACTAAATTTAGAGAAGCTACAGGGTACAAAGGAAGCTATGAAAGTTTAAGAAAAATAATAAAGTCGCTAAGATTTCGTTGGCGGAAAACAAAAACAAACAGAAAAATATTAATGGAAAGGTTTGATATTCAAAAGCTACTTTTAGACTATCTGATTCGTTTAAAAAGTTATCGAACAGAGGGCCGTCCAATTGTCTACTTAGATGAAACATACATTCATGCCTCCCACACACACCAGAAAGCTTGGAGTGATAATTCAAATGAGGGATTAAAGAAACCAATTAATAAAGGTGATAGACTAATTATTGTCCATGCAGAAGGTGAAATGGGCTTTATTCCGAATGCCCGGTTAATTTTCAAATCTGGAACCAAAAGTGGAGACTACCACGATGAAATTAATTTTAATAATTTTTCTAAATGGTTGAAAGAAAAGCTGTTTCCGAACCTCCCTCCAAGAAGTGTCATTATTGTTGATAATGCTCCTTACCATAATGTCCAGGTAAATAAAGCACCAATGTCAACTTCTAAAAAAGCTGACATGCAGGATTGGATAAGGAATCATAATATTGCTTACGAAGAGGATATGCTCAAAACGCAATTATACAGTTTAGTGCTATTGCATAAGTCACGATTTAAGAGGTATGCAATTGAAGAAATGATAAATGAACATGGTTTTAGTTGTTTGCGTTTGCCACCGTATCATCCCGATTTTAATCCGATCGAATTAGTGTGGGCATCATTGAAACAATATGTAGCTAGTAACAACACTACATTTAAGAGGCAAGACGTACAACTGTTGTGTGAAGACTTTTTTGATACGTTTTCTAAAGAGGAGTGGCAATATCGTTGTAATAATGCTAAAATGTGGGAATCTAAATTTTATGACAGAGAAGTTACTTTGGATGAGGCAACTGATAGATTTATAATTAACTTAAACAGTGAGAGTGAGACTGATTTTGAATCTGATATGGAAACTGAAGAAAGTTTTTCGGAAGACCATTAAAATTATATCTGTACCTAAGATCAAAAAACTATTATCTATTTTTACAACGAAGATGCACAAGAATCAAATTTTATTTTTTTATTATTAGATAGCTATTTTTGTTTCTGAGTTGTGTTCATTTACAGGCTCAATTTTTTTCCGTTTCTCCTTTTTGATTTTATATGGGGTTTCAAGTTGTTTTTGACTTATTTCGACGTAAATCACAACAACACACTTTTTTAATAAAGCAAACAAGTGTTAAGAGGTATATGTACGTGTAAACTACAATTACAAAAAATTGATATGAAACCCATGAAACCACCAACAAAAATGTAAAGCTAGCTTCCGTACTAGAACATGGTGTCATTCGTCGAGATAATTTATCGTTTTGTTTAATAGATCAAGAAATGTAAATATTCCCCTGTTATTTTTTATAAAATTATAAGAGAAATAAATTTTTTTCTAAATAGTATAGTTTATTATTTTGTAGAAAAACAAAATTTCGAAAATTTTAGTAATGTTTCAGAAACAACCGTTATTAATAATAGGTACCATTTTCCTTAATAAGGTAGAAATAAAATATAAACTATTTCCACGATTTACAAAGGCCTACAAAAAAATTATAGGTATTTTCCGCTATCCTATAAAATTTATATTTTCTGACTCAATTTCAAAAGGTTGAAGGAATTCCAAAACACCTTTTATGGCATAATAATTATTTTCAATTCTACATACTATCTTTAGCTGCTTTTAAAAACGTTCTAAGAAAGTCCAATCAGACCAATTTAATCCCTAAACTATTCCACACTTTTAAAATTTAATTACCTAAAAATATTAAAAACTATTTAAAATAACTTGTTTAGCAGACTGTACAATAGCTATCTTAGTCACACGTAGCGCGTTCTCTGTCTGGGCGTCGAACACCTCTAGAAATTTGATGAACTGTAGTATCAAATTTTAAATCTAGATTTCACGTGTGTTCAGTGTCGGATTGGATCTTCATTTCGGTCAGTGGCGGCTTGTAGTAATTTGAAATGGGTGTTCACTTTTTCAATAATTTTATCATTTGTAAGTTCTGTTCAAAACTTTGTACAAGTGGCATAGAAACAAAGAAAAAAATATGATTTTGTCCAATTTGTACTCTTATTTTTTGCAGGATATGGTGGACAATCTCTATAATCCTATGTGTATGTTTTTGTGGAGGCATGATATACAAAATATTCTCAAAATACGCTTCATTTCCCGTAATTGTTACTTTTTCGATGAGAGAATCGAGGCTTCAAAAACTACCATTTCCAGCTGTTACGATATGCCCCAGAGCCAAAATTTCCCAAAAATATTTCAATTTGACGGAATATTTCAGCAATGAGCTCAATCATATACCAACCACCAAAGAAGAGTGAGTATATATTATTTAAAAATTATTGTTATAACGCCTATTGTTCTACTTTTTGTTTAAATTGATTACATTTATTGTTCCTATTAATTCTTCCAGCTGGACATCTTCCAGCTAGCTCCAAATCTTTCAGTTTGGTACAGGAGGCTTGAAACCCAAAGCAATTATAATTCGCTTACTGGATGATTTTAATATTGTAACCAAAGACTAAAATTCAAAAACTTTTATAAGTACAAACTATACCTCGAACATTTTTTACAGGGACAAACTCAAAGATATATCGGCAACAATTTGTGAATATTACGCAGGAAATACAACAGAAAAAATAGAAGAACATGAATTTTACGAATTCTTAACTAAGGTAAGATTAATAATATGACTGTTACGAGGGAATATCGAAAATTATGTACGAGTATTTAGACGTTCTTAGATAAATAATTTGGTGTTTCTTTTACTAAATTACTTATTTTTAGAGCAGGACTGATATTCTGCACTATTGTCAATATTTGACGTTGGAATTCAATTGTAGCGAATTGTTTACCCCTATTTTAACAGAAGATGGAATCTGCTATTCGTTCAATATTTTAGACAAAACTGATATTTATAGAAATAATACAGAGTGAGTATTCAACTTAAAATTAACTAATAAAACGTTTAGAAAGTCAAACGTGATTTTAAAATCGATAACTATTACGTAAAGGTGCATTGAAACTGGTAGAGCACTAAAAGCAGAACGTAAAATATTGTGAATTTTTTTTTAAAATAGCTTTAATCATAAAAATCTATTTTAAAAATTTATATTTTCTCAATTTTTCGTAAAACCATTAATAAATATCATTCAAATAGTAAATTAATATTAATGTCTAGTAAACGAGTTCCTGATTTTTAAACTGGAATGTTTCCAACTAAAAAACCAATCTCGAAATACATTTTCAATATCGCATATATAAATATCTAATAAACATCACACATTTATAAAATATTGTTGATGGAAATGTTATTTTCATATTTTCATTCAAGTGGATTTCGTTTTAACTCTCCAATAACTAAAAGGGTATTTTTTGATAATGGGAATACTTGAATTAACTTTCAAGTGATTATGATGATCTCAAGTTCAATTGAAAATAACAAATATTCCACCAGATACCTGATCTGGGTATAAATATTGTTAGCACCCTCTAGCGTGCTGCGGTCGTCATAAGTAAAGGTACGAGTAAATAAAGAAGATAGAATAGTCCAGAAATCTCTCGAAATATCATTCCTTGTCAAAAAAAGTCCGAATTGTCCGAGAATGTTCTAGAAGGTCGATGACCTGACGTCAGAGTTTCAGTTTTATGATAGACGTTAAGAAAACACGCTCTACGCCTCTCCACCCACAGTCCAACCGAATAGTAGAAACACACAAAATCAACGACCTGATCTACCGCATTCAGTTGTCAGCGGGAAGTAAACCCAAGGTAGTTCACATTGAAAAGGTAGCACCATACCGTGGTCCAGATTCTCCCCATTGGCTCCAGCCAGGTCCCAGTAATCTAGTTATTCGGGGCGAATAACTAGAGAGGAGGGAGCACCCTGTAGCGTGCTGCGGTCGTCATAAGTAAAGGTATGAGTAAATAAAGAAGATAGAGTAGTCCAGGAATCTCTCTAAATGTCATTTCTTGTCAAAGAAAAGTCCGGATTGTTCGAGAAGGTTCTAGAAGGTCGAGGCAAGCTATATAAGTCGACGATCTGACGTCAGAGTTTCAGTTTTATGATAGATGTTAAACGTTAATGTTATCAGTTGGAGTTATTGTATCAGTTGAATTGAGTAATTGTAAAATTTGAGTTTGAATAAATTGTGATACCAAAAACCAGCGTAACAATATACAATTATAAATTAGCAATATCTTCATATTTTTTACAGTTTATCTCACCTTAAATCAACAAAATCTTTTCTCAAGCTTCCTAGAATTTTTCATCTTCCTTATCATTAATTTCTTCTTCTATATCAGATCCTACTACTATCCTTTCTTCTTATATTTTCTTTTCTGTACTGTTATTATCATAGATATATAACCAAGACAGATAGGATTATTTACAAAAATTTTGAAGAATGAACGGTGGTGTCCGCGGTAGAAACTCAATAATCGGATTGAACATTGATGCCAAGTTTACGTGCTTTTAACTATAGATATATATAACCAATACAGATTACACAATTTCTGAAGTCAACGCGGATGATCCTCGACAGAAATGCAATATTTGAATAAAATTAAAATATTGATGCCAAGTTTGCGATGTTTTTAACTGTAGTAATGTTATTGCGTTTGCTTGAATTACTGTTAGGTCTTTAAATTGTCAAAAAAAATAATGTCTGACAACAGCGGAAGTAAAGTAGACCGCAATTGTGGAGGGTCGTATATTGTTTCATTCATAAAAATTCCTTCGATACAGTACTAGTCCAGGAGCCAGTGACTTTTTTCGTACTTGTTTTCCCAGTCCGTGTATATTTAAATAATCTATTCCCGGTGAACTGTATATTTAAAATGGAACGCCAATCTATTAACAAAAGTGAGATTGTTTACAAAGTGCCTTTGCAGGCCTATTTTGCCCATTTCATGTATTTGTTTTTAAATCATGTTAAATTACTATTTTTGAAACTCAACAAGGAGAAAATCCAATTAACTCTTCCGTTGTGTATATATATAAGATAAATAAAAACTATATAAAAGACAAATACTCTAAAAGCGCAAAAGATCAGAACCAAATAAAATGAATAACCATAATAACCTAAAAATCACACTAAAATTGCAAAAACTATTAATGTAAAATCATGAGATTACATCAATAATGCATATGCGTCGGAGTATCGCAAATGTCAAAACTCGTTTGAAAGTGTATTTTATGCTCTTGCCAAATATATTATCCATACAGATTAATCAGACTATTTTTTTACTTAACTTCAGTACATCTCTTACTACTAAAACTATTTTTATCAATGGAAAAAAAGGGCCATGTTCTTGTATGTTTTGACGCATTTTCGGCCTCAGCCCATCGGACCCCCCCTCTAAATATATATGAATTTTGCTTAGAATTGCTAATCCTACAATTCTCTATTCGTGCTTGCTGACTGAGAAAATAAATACCGAAAATCGTCACTGTCTCCTGGACTATACAATAGATGATGATGAGAACTTCACAACAAATACACTTTTATAAATGGCTAGTTGGGGATGTGGTTATTATTGATACATTTTGTTGTTTAAGTAAAAAAATTCTTAACAATCCGCATTTTTCAATATATTTTTCAATATTTCGAATTTTTGTAACAATTTAATAAAGTTTGTTTCTCTCAGCGATACATTAATTTATTGCCTTCTGGACACATCTCAAAAAAAATATATTTTCACCATTAACTTCAAAACAACTTAAGATATCAAATAATTAATTTCATTTTTGGAATCTATTAGGTAATCTCTAGCAGCTTGCATATATAAATCGAAACCCCAAAATCCCTCTTAAAAATACACATTTTTTGTAATATTTTTGTTTGATTTTCATGAAAATTTAGATATACAGGGTGTTTCACAATAAAGAACCATCGTAAACTGGGGGACTTGTAGATCTTATCTAATTATTAAGAAAAGCTAAATATACTTTTTCTGTAAACGTCTCAATTTTTATTCTACAGGGTGATAAAGTGAATTTCATAAATAGATTTTTTTTTCTAAATATCTATAAATTAGTGATTTAAAGGAATTGGTGGAAATGAAGCAATTCACTTCTATATTTTATGAAATATTCTTCAAAACATATTTATTTGTTTGTTTAAGAATCAATGTTCGAGTTTTGTCTATTTAAAAAAAAAACATGTATATTTTTAAATGTCTTTTTTAAGTCTAATATATTTAAAAAAAAACTAGAATGCATTTCTGAAATATTACTATTTAATATTTCTAAAAGATATCTAATTTGCATTTCAGAAATATTACTGTGAAATATTATATTTAGAGGACATTTTTAGGTTTCAGGCATATTTTAGAAATGTTTCTGGGATGTTTCGTAATATTTATACAACATTGCAAATGTTTCAATTCTTGAAATATTTCTGAAATGTGTTTGTGCTGTATGGGTTGCTACTATACCTATCTACTACCTTTTGACATATCATATTTTTTAGGTCGATTTTCGATCATTTTCACAAAGCCCCCAAAACGGAATGGAACGTAGAAGGCGGTTATATTTCGAAAGAGGTGAAGGTCTACCCTAAAAGAGCCTTAAGGGTTGGAGTAAGAAATCAACTGATGGTCGTGATGAAAACTCGATTTGATGATGTCGAATTTCAGTGTGCCTATGACGAATCCGGTTATAGGGTAAGTAAGCATGAAATTCTGTGCAGTGACGTGCTTAAAACGTTTTGGAAAAGGTTCTATTATTGTGCTGTGGAAACGCTATCTAGAACATGTCATCGTCATCAGAGATTTAACTAGTTTTTAAGGTTAGAGGTTTAAGTCTTTGTTTATTGTTTGTAAAAAAATCTATATGCAGTTTTAAAATCAATAAACTCTTTTTTAGGAATTCCTCACTAAAATAAAAGAAAAATTATCTATTAATATGCGAGTATCTGCAATGTATCGAGGGTGGGTTACCTCGCGGCACTTAGGCCTCACTAGGCCCATTCTGCATCCTTCTGCGAGTATATAATCTTACAATTTTTTCTTTTTGTAAATAATTTGCTTTAATATGTACATCTATTTAACACCCTATACAAAATTAAAAAAAAAATTAAATATTGTCCTAAATATAAAGCTAATATTACCACTAATAATAATATTTTTAATAATATCAATAAATAAAATAAGTACTGAAGATGGTTCAAACGAGATATCGAAATATTTACAAATCTAAACAACATTGTTTTATAAATCCAATACCTAAACCTCAACACTGACAAAATGTTATGTGTGTATTCGCCAATTAATTCAAAATTTATTAGTAATGTTTACAAAACGGTTGCCAGCAATTTGAAAAAATTACAAAATGATAAATTACCACCCACTATTACAAACATCATAAATTAGGTTTAGCAATTTGTTAATGAATATTATTAATTACTGTTTTCTATCGCTCTGATACATGCAGCTATAATTAACTCATTTTGAATTTAAACTAAAAAAAGTCCCATAACAATCATTTAAAAATAAAATGATTGGAATGTTATCACTACAAGAGACGTTGTTATCCTTGCTATCCCAACCAACTGAAGTTATGGGCGTTTAAGTCGCAACCTATTACCAGCTCAAACTTCTGTTCCATCTCTTTGCTGGGTGGTGGCGTGGTTGCGTCGGAGGGGATGTATACAGATGCCGGAATTAACGTTCTCTTTTCCCTATTGATGGCGCATTCCATCCTAACCGCAGTTAAATCGAAGATGAAAAGGTATGCCATTGAGTGGGCTTTGTATTTTCTAGGAATGTAAATGGCTGTCCTAGGTTGTAGATTATTGGGAAAACTAAAAATTGAACCATTTAGATTTTAAGGACATAAAATTTTGGTTTTTATTATTCAGGGTTCCTGGATGAGTGCTATTGTATCTTTCATCAAGGCGGCGGCATAATGTTGCCGTAGCCACCCTTTTGTGCTGCAAATTACATTGTATAATCGTTACCTCTTTTATTGCTTCCTAGTCCTCCGTTGAAAATTGGGCAACAAGGTGGTTATATATTCGACCATCCCTTCCTCCGAAAGTGGGGAGAGGGTGGTCTCTTGTGGCTTTTCGGAGTTTTCTTGCTGGAGGTCATCGATTGCTATTTTTTCTGGCTTGACGTCCTCCACTGTTGACTTAAATGGGTGGGGGGAGGGAAGGGGATCCATTATCAGTCTCTTTTTCAAGCTTCAGTCTTATAATCAATGAGGCGAACGCATAGCTCATCCTCATCGATTGATTAATGATGAAGAGATGACCCTTGGGATCCTTTTTGATTTCATAGTGGAAGGAGCACCATTTCGCTACATGCAAGTTTGGGTTTTGCCCCTCAAGTCGCTTGAGCACAATCTTTTTCTCGTTAAGGTCAGCTTGCGCTTCCCCTGGGATCCAGAGAGAGGCTTTGGTGAGCTTGGGGAGCTCGTCCATCCTTACAACTGCGAGTGTTGCTTCTTCCCATGTTTTTAAGGTTGGTACCTTGGTTTTTAGCCATTCCAACGTCAGGTTACCATCGGAGGTTACTCTGATGAGTGTGACCAAGACCTAAATGTGGGTTGCTTGGTTTTGCTGCAGGAGGCGCTCAAGATTGTTTTGTCCAGCTCACCCATCAGTGTCATTTTGACAGGGATTTCTCTTTCGGTAGTTATCTTACCGTAAGAGTTATCCTTGTCTATTATAGCTACTTTCAGGTGGCTCGTAACTGCATCCTTATAGCTTATCCCAGACAGAACTTTGTGATCCTATCTGGGTTTTGTCGCTTTCCGGGGCGTTACCACAGAAGATGTGTAAGATCGCGGCCCTTTCTTGTCCCTAGTTGCGTCGTGTTTCTGGCCTCTTGTGGAGACAAAACTAGCGTTGCTGTCTAGGGACTTGATTAGGCTGCTTTTATTTTGTTTGGAGTGAGGGAGTTTGCTGAGGGTGGCGGTTGCCGTAGCACTGCCTATGTAAGGACTAAAAGAGTCTAAAATTAGTTGCCAACAACTGCTCGACTATGCTATTAAGGGATAATTTTTATTCTTTTAATTAAATTTTTTTATTATTTTTATTTGCCACTGTTGAATGGATGTTCCTTTTGGATTCCAGGATCCTTTGGCTGGTGACGGTGCTGCCCTAATCCCTTAATAGTATATAAACAATAGTAGCTAAAGACCTATCAGTAGTTACAAGTGGTCTCTTTAGAAAGTTGGTTGTTACATTTAGTGACAAGTGGTGGTCTTTAAGCTCCCGATTGTTACACCTGCCTGCAGCTTATTCCTCTTCCTCCTCTTTGCTTCAGACCTAAATATTCTTTTGCCTCTCTGTGATCTGTTAGTTGGAGATAAACTACTGTGTCTATCCTCCTTTTTTGAAGGTGGGCGTCACCGTCCAACCTCCTGTACGGGAGCTGTACTTTGTTGTCCAGTCTCCTTTGCTGGAGGTGAGCGTTGACGTCCAGCCTCCAGCCGAGTTGTTTTTGTGTTCTTGAATCCATATGGTTCCCACGAGTAGCTAAGGAAGGAAAGGTCGACCGACTCAGAATTCCGCATGTGCCGGCAAGGCTAGATGCAAGAGGGTGTCGCCAGGTTTCCTTAGGGAGCGTTTGCTGCCGCATCTGCCCCTGCGGCATGTTACCGTACACCTTAGATTGGGTGAGTTGGTTCGCGGCGGTAGCCTTCGCAAAAGATTTTGAGGGTTTTTAGGCTCTCGCACAGGTATTACATAATTATTATAATGTAATGTGAGCCATTTGATTATTCAGTCATGCTCTAATCTTCCAAGTCTTTCTCTGTCTTATTTTGTCTTTAAGGCTCAACTTGTCTGATTATCATACATAATTAAACCCCTTAAAACTAAACACATGTGACGACTACGGCGGAGTCGCTTTCGAGATCTTTGGTGAACATTCTAGTACCTTCGCCAAAGTTTTAAATTTGTATATAAATATGTATTGGTGGAGGATCAAGAGGGAATCAGTAGTTATATGGACAGTGAAGATAAATAGTGAACAGTTTAAAGATATTCGAAATATATATAAATTAGAATAGTATTGTTTAAAATCGATGCTAAGGTACACGGATCTTAACATCAACCATAAACAATAACAGAAAGTGAGTGTTCTGTGCATCGTACGAACAAACCTCAGAGTAGTACAGAGAGGACACTAAACAATTTTTTATTTTTTACAAACTTTGTCTTACAAATCTTATAGATTGTCTTGGAATCGACCCTTTAGTTAGTCAAGTATACCTGCAAAAAGAAAACGACTATTAACTTCAAACAAATCTAGACCTTCATTTATCTGTATTTTATTTGATTATCTGAGGTTTTTGACACAATCATGCGAAAAGCACAATTTAGTTTGCCCAATAACACAATCAGAAATTTCTTCCAGATTTAGTCTATCACTTTATACATTTTTAGGTATCCATACACCTACCTTCCGACATACCAGAAGTGCCGGAAAACCACATATCCGCTCCCCTGAATCAAAGAGTGATAGGAGCGATAGTACCGCACACCATAAGGACTTCAGAGGGCGTCAAAAATTTCTCACCAATTAAAAGGGATTGCTACTTTCAGTCAGAAAGGCATTTGAAGTTTTTCAAAATTTATTCGCAGTCAAATTGTATGTTGGAATGTAAGGCGAATTACACACTGAGCGTGTGTGGTTGCGTAACATTTCATATGCCGAGTAAGTATGCAGATTGTAGCGGTTGAGATACCACACGGTTCAGTCATGGGTGCCGTTCGTTTCCATAATTTATTTGACAGAATAGACTATTTCTAGTTTGTATAGGCTTTAGAGCAGTGTTGCCGAATTGAAAATGTAAAATTTCCCATCAGTTAATCCCAAAATTCCCCCTTTATCCACCCACGGTTTTAAAAATTACCTACTTTTTTCACTCACACTAAAAAAATGTTTTTTATATAACTATAATCCGGAAAAGCATTCTAGTTAACATGAAATGAAAATGAAAAAATTCAACATATCAGTTGATCTAATGGCTAAATAAACTCAAAGCTGAAGACCAAAGAAAAATTATTTGAAAAATAAAGGCAAAGAAAATTTCAGAGTCCGTGTGACAGCAAAGCTTTCCACCAGAAAACTACTCATTAAAAATTAATCAATAAAACAATTTCAATCATCATATACTATCAAATAACAACACCATTAATAATGTCTAAACCAGAGATATCTCCCTTATCTCTGGTCTAAACATAAACCAATGTCATGTCAAAACATAAAATATGACATAATTTCATATTACTGACCTAGGGTGAGATTACAGAACGTCTGCAACTTTGCAGATCTGCAAATATGGCGGCAACTTTGCAGATCTGCAAATATGGCGGACTTACATGTGCATGTATCAAGTTTTCGTATTCCAAAAAAGTTTTGTAAATTCGCAATATTTATTGTGGTTTATTATCCCCAACAACACTAAACCCAAATCCATTACTATGTTTAAAAACTCGATAATCTGACACTATGAACTGTATTTAATCAAAAGAAACAGAAGACTTCATGGTTGTAGGATGTTATTCTAACCTTCTTAATGGTGGATTTGGATTTAGTGTTGTTAGGGGTAATAAATATTGCGAATTTGCAGATATTTTTTGGATACTTTCATCTGTAAGTCCGCCATATTTGCAGATCTGCAAAGTTGCCTCCACATTTGCAGATCTGCAAAGTTGCAGACGTTCTGTAATCTCACCCCTAGTGTAATAAATAAATATTATCTATTTATTAAAGAAAGGGAAATCCAAGATTAATTCGCCCTAAAGTCATTATGGGAGCCTCATGGGAACAAATTCCCCAAAAATTCCCCAAAAATATTGTATCCACCCAAAATTCCCACCAGAGTCAAAATTTCCACCCAATGGGGAAATTTCCACCCAAACGGCAACACTGCTTTAGAGGTTGACTCATAGCCTTTTTAAATCAATTTTCCAAACTTTTTCTTATTGAATTTTGTTAATTATGTAACTTGATATTTTGTACGTTTCAGGAGAAGCCGGGACACCAATTTGTCTATTAAACAAACTCCAGTGTATCGAGAACGCTCTCGGTAAGTTTATCGTCTACAATGCGTAACAAGACTTAAATACTATAGTTTTTCTACGCCTTCTTTATCTTCTTAAATAAAAGAGGAATTTGATTATCTTAATTTTTTTTTCCAGATTTATTTTCAGTAGTTAACGAAGACCTTGTTTCAAATGAAGAAGATGATTCGGATAAAAAAAAGAGTTGCGATTGTAAACCGACTTGTACGGACATCAGCTACGATACTGATTTATCGTATAATAACTTCATTTTCGATGTAATAAATAAATCTCTGCAAGAAGAACTCGACTTTCAAGAGTAAGTTTTTGTTTGCCATTGTTACTAATAACTATATACAGGGTAACGAAAAAGATATTTTCTCTTAAACGAATAAATTTATAATTGTGAAATTGTAGGTTGATCAATAGGATTTAATTGTGTTTAGAGTACTGTTGCCATCTTGATTTTTTAAATCACAACCAGTGGCGGCTCGCAATAATTTAAAATGGATGTTAATTTTTTCCAATAATTTAATCATTTATAGGTTCAAAACTTTGTACAAGTATAGCTATTATTATCATCAATATCATACTAATTTCAAGCTCTACAACTATTAATGAACAGATAAATGAATATTTTAGTTATTGTAATATTTGTTTTGTTTTTAATCCGTTGAAAACTATTTATAAACATTAATAGTCAACTGAGTTTTCTTCATATTTTGATATAATTTTTAAATATATATCAGGTTATATAGAAAGCTTGACAAAGATATTATTATATAAAACTTTTTTTTTTTTTTATTTAACAATTTAATGTCGCATCCACCCTAAGGTTATTAGCGACAGGATACATACAATGAAAACATTATAAATATAAATACAGCAGTTTAGATTTACAGAGTTTTTGTTATATTTTGTCGATAAGGTTTGCGTCTTTTAGGTATTTGAACAAGTTCGTTATGTGGGAGTCTTCACCTAGTAATGTTCTTATGTTTTCAGGAAGGTTATAAGCATTCCTGGAGTTAGTGTATTTAGTACACTTTATGAGTATGTGCTGTACTGTAAGGGGTGTATCGCAAACATCGCAGAATGGTGGGCCTATATTCTTTAAAAGGTGTTCGTGTGTCAGTTTGGTGTGACCTAGGCGAAGGCGATTTAGTATGACTTGTTTTTTCCTCGATAGCCCGCTTTTTTTACGTGGAAACACATTATTTTTCACTAAGCGCAATTTATTATTCGTTACACTTTGCCATTTGTTTTGCCACTCGCGCACTAATACCGTTTTAAAATAATTTTTTAGGTCTTCGGGCGATGTCTTGTTAAAAGTTTCAGAATTGTCACTAGTAATAGCTTGACGCGCACATTTATCTGCTTCCTCGTTGCCTGGGATTCCTATATGCGACGGTACCCACATAAAATTAATGGTCCTATTCTGCTGTTGGGATAAATAGAGCTCTGTTTTCACAAGTTGTTCAATTGTTTTTTTCGGGTAGATTTGTTGTAGTGATTGAAGGGAACTTAGTGAGTCTGTGATAATAACAGCTGTAGGGATATTGGCTTCGTTGGCATACTTAATGGCGCGATATATGGCATACATTTCGCTAAAGAAAATACTGCTTTGTGGTGAAAGTTTAAAGAGAAGATGATCGGTGCCAGTTACTACAGCACAGCCAACTCCCTGTATATTTTTGGATGCATCCGTATATATTTGTTGTTGGTCATGGAACTTATTCTCTAAGATTTCACGGAAGGCAACTTTTAGTAGTGTATGAGGTGTTTCGCTTTTATTCTGCAGCGAGAGGGTAGTATTGCATTCAGGAACTTTTATTGTCCAAGGAGGGTAAATTTCTACCTTATTTGATAGTACATCGGTAATTGTTAGCTGAGATTCTTGCAGGTACTTTTGAATTCTCTCATAATAGGGTTTTGCTAGTCTAGGTTTATTATTAAGATAATTTTAATATTTATTATTAAAAGTGTTTGAGTATACCGGTTTGTTTTTAGCTGCTGACGTTGACGAGGCGTGCGAGAAAGATAGTGTTTTTCTTCTTAGTTGTAGGCATGGTTGTCCGGTCTCACTGTAGAGGCTTTGCACGGGTGTCGTTCTGTATGCTCCAAAGGCGATTCTTAAGGCTGAGTTGTGAATGGAGTCTAGTAGCTTCAGAGTAGTCTTACTGGCGGAGGCATAGGCGACTGACCCATAGTCTATTTTTGATCTTACAATGGCTTTGTATAGTAATAATAATGTGTTTTGGTCTGAGCCCCAACTTTTGTGTGCTTTAAAAGGTTAATTCTGTTGTTGCAGGAGAGTGCTAATTGTTTTATGTGTTGCTTCCATGTTAGCTTACTATCAAATGTCATGCCTAGAAACTTGATCGTAGATGTGAGATTTAAGGGTTTGTTGTATAACATGAGGCTTGAGCGAGGTGAGCAATCTTTCTTGGAGAAAACTATGCACTGTGTCTTTTCTACGGAAAATTTAAATCCTGTGGTGAGTGACCATTCTTGTAGCTTATTTAGGGCTGTTTGAATAATAGTTGTCATTGAAGTTAGACATTTTCCTTTTAGATAGACAACCAAGTCGTCCGCATATAGTCTGGCTTTTATAGGTTTATGTAAATCATTTAAGATATCGTTTAGGGCTGCTAGAAAAAGGGTTGGACTTATTATGGATCCCTGTGGAATGCCGTTTTCTTGGGGGTGTATTTGGGATGTGGCCTTGTTTGTTCTGACGGTAAAGAGGGATGTTTTTAGGAAGTTTTTTAGAAAAGCGAGACAATTGCCTTGAATGTTCCAAGTTTGAATTTTCTTTAAAATATAGTGTTTCCGGCTGAGTTGAAGGCTTTATTGATATCGAAAAAGATAGCATAACACATTTGTTTTGTGGCTAATGCTTCATGGATGTCACTTTCGATGTCTAAGATGTTGTCAAGTGTTGATCTGTTTTTTCTAAAGCCATTCTGTTCATCTATGATATAGTGGTGTTTTTCTAGGTGCCACATTAATCTTTTATTTATAATTTTTTCAAATAGTTTACTTGTGGAACATGTGAGGGAAATTGGTCTGTATGATTCGGGGTCTGATCGGGATTTTTTGGGTTTAAGAATAGGGATTATTATGGCATGTGACCAGATAGAAGGAAAGGTTTGTTTGAGCCAGATCTGATTGTATAGTTTTAAAAGAAAATCTTTCGCTATTTTGGGTAGATTCTTGAGAAAGATGGAAGGGATGTCATCAGGTCCGGGACTGGTATCTTTCAAGCTACTGAGGGCTTCTTCGAGTTCGTTCATATTAATAGGTACATTAATTGGCTCATCGCTATTTAAGATGTCTATTGTTTGTAGTTCTTCAAGAGTTTTATGTTGAAGGAAGCTTGCATCGTAATTGTCATTATTTGAATACCTTTCGTATGTCTGGGCAAGGATTTCTGCTATGTCTCCACTTTCCGTAAACATTTGGTTGTTCACGGTTAATTGGGCTATATTGTGAGCTGTGTGTGATGATGAAATTTTTTTTACCTTCTTCCAAATCTCTGTGATAGCTGGAAACGTACTGTTTCCAAGAATTTGTCTTAGCGGTGTTAATCGTGAGGTTAGCTTGAGCTTTTAGACGCTTAAAATGTATTTTATTTTCTATGGTTTTACAACGCTTGTATCTGTTTAGGGCTTTCTTACTCTCTGTAATGGCTATTTTACATTGATGGTTCCACCATGGTTATATAAAACTTTACCTACCATTTTTCAGTTTTTATTTTAAATTTAATCATTTTCACAATTTGTCAAAAATGTCAAATAAAATAATATATTTTTTAAATACCTTTTATTGGCAAATAAACCAATTGAACTAAAATGTTTATTTTATAAGATCAGTCCCATCACAATACATAATAATACACAGATGCAAATTAAAATGAAGATATATATTGCGCGGCATTCTAAATTATACTGTTCACAGTTTAACAGACCCCCTAACCCCCATTTTCAATCAGATTTTGTTCAGAATCAATAGGCTTCATCCCCTTGCAGAGCTTGAATTTTCCAAAAATTTTCAAGTTGATATTGTTTGTTTTTGAATGGATTTATTTAAAATAATTCAACCCTTTTAACCCCCCCACTTTTAATCATTTTTTGTTCACAATCAATAGGCCTCATCTCCTAATAGAGCTTGATTTCTACTAAAAATTTCATGTTCATATCGCTTTTCATTTTTGATTTGTTTTCTTTAATTTCAACCCCGTTAAACCCCCCATTTTCAATCAGATTTTTTTTTCAAAATCAAAGGTCCTCTTCTCCTTATAGAGCTTGATGTTTGCTAAATATTTCAAATTGATACCATTTTTTGGTTTTTGAGTTAGGTTTTTTTTTTTATATTTTAACCCCCCTTCAATTTATTCAGATTTTTTTCAGAATCAATAGACTTTATCCCTCTTATAGAGCTTCATTTTTACTAAATATTTCATGTTGGTATCGCTTTTATTTTTAAATAAAAAATCATAAATAATAGTAAGTTAAACCAGCCAAAAGTAAGCTCTCTCTCATTGGCTAGACGAAAGGTATTGGCGCGCGCGCGAAAGACCAGTGTATTGCAAAAATCTATTGATGTTTCAGTAAACTAGATAGTGAACAAATAACAATAGTGATCATCGGTCCCCGAATAGCAAAAAGACAAGACCTCACGTAAATTCTCTTACAGTGGTGAGCTTCCCTTTTTATTGCGAATATGCCGGAAAAGCTGTATCGAAAAAAGTGATTTGAATTCATGTTCCATTGTATAGACAGGGAACTCAATCACAGGTAACGGGTGCCTGCAACAGGTAACTCTCCTTCTCTTGCCCCCCCCCCCCCCCCCCCCCCGTCCTCCTCTGATGGTCTAATCAATACTATAATTATTGTCATTACATTGCATATAATAGTATTAGTATCCATAGAAGCTTCCTGGCAGTGTTGCCACCTTTTAATACTGACCCAGGAAATGAATGTTACCACTGGTTACTTTATATAATAGCATTATTTTCCCCCACGTACCAGCTCTTTTAGGATGCTCTTCACGTACAGATATCAAAACAAATGTAAGGCAGCAGTCCAATCTCATTCTCACCTCTTCTCTTGTAGATTCCGTACCCATTTTTTTAATTTTTAGTTAAGTTTGCACTGCTCTTTTCCACAGCTTTAAATCCACAATACTGTAACGCTACTATATGAATCCATTTTTGTGATTTATACTATTCAATTTTAATCGTAAGTGACCAACCTATTCTTATATTGTTCCTATTATAATAATTAAGAAATATTGTATTAAAGGCCTGAAGATGTTCCT